AGTGTGGTTTGATAACTGGCTGTGTCCTGTTAAACTTTATTTTAGCAATGAGGTGAATTTGATATGATTTTTACATATCACAAGATTGTCTTCTTTTGATTTTTTTCAACCATTTATAAATGTAAAAACTAGACTTATCTCTCTGGTCATACAAAAAGAGTCAGCAGGCTGTATTTATTCTGTGAGCTGTAGTTTGCTAACCACCCAACTAGACTGAAATAAACATGGTAAAAATGTAAGGGTGGGTATCCATCCTGTTTCTCTCAATAGGCAAGAAAGGAAGGCAGAAAAAGAATGAAAATAGCAGATAAACAGCTCAAAATAGTATGTTAGAAATAAATTAGTAATTAGAATAAACTGGCTAAAGGACAGATTGCCAGATGGATTTTTTAAAATCCAATTACGTGTTGTTTTAAGAGAGACATAATCCCTCTCCCCCTCAAAAAGAGATATACCTCAATAGAGGGTACAGAAAAGTTCAAAATAACAGAAGGGAAAAGGTTGTATAGTACCAAGAAAATACTTTAAAAAGAAAGATGTATCTTTCTGAAAAATGTATTTTAATCAAAATATTTTAATGTATTTGAATGGTTGAAAGATCAAGCAAATAAAAAAGGATACAGATGTTATCAAGACTTCTCTGTTGCACATATAGAGAGCCCTATATCCCCAAATTACTTGGATAAACATTCTTCTCAGCTTTGTTTGGAAATCTTATTAACATTGTGTAACAATAGGCTAAATGTCAAATATCAGTGTTTGAGTTCGTTAAATATTCTCCTAGGTTGAACATGGTGGCTCATACCTGTAATTCCAGCACTTTGGAAGGCCAAGGAGGGAGGATTGCTTGAAACCAGCCTAGACAACATAGTGAGACTTAGTCTTTACAAAAAAATTTTAAAATTAGTGGGCCAAACTTGGTAGCTCAGTATGTAATCCTAGCACTTTGGAGGGCCAAGGCAAGTGAACTGCCTGAGCCTGTGGGTTCGAGATCAGCCTGCACAACTTGGCAAGACATCATCTCTACAATAAAATAAAAAATAGCTGGGCATAGTAGCACTTCCAGCTACTTGGAAGGCTGAGGTAGAAGGATCGTCGGAGCCCAGCAGGTCGATGCTGGGGCGGCCATGAGCATGCCACTGCACTCCAGCCTGGGCGACAGAGTGAGACTCCAACTCAAAAAAAAAATTAGCTAGAAGGGGTGGTGTGCAACTGTAGTCCCAGCTAATTGAAAAGCTGAGGTGGAAGGATCACCTGAGCCCAGTAGACTGAGACTGCAGTGAGCCATGATGGTGCCACTGCACTCCAACCTGGGCAACAGAGTGAGACCCTGGCTTTAAAAAAAAAAAAAAAGATTCTCCTGTAAAGTTCTTAAGAGTTGTATAAGAGCTCTCCCATTGTGAGAATGCATTGTTATCAATTTAGCCTGTTACTGAGTTTGAGGTGGATTTTTACTTTTCAGTTGCCTACCCATGCTCTGACAAGAGCACCCCCTTCTTCGGAGGAACTATTTATTCCTAACTTCAACTCTTGTACCCATTAACTGCGGTTAGAACAGGAGATGTGATGTCTTTATGTGAACTTTCCTTTTTTTGGCCATAGTGATTAGTTGAGGGGTTAAGACAAATTAACCTAGGTAGCAAAGAAGACTCATAATAGGAAAAAACATTTAAATTTAAAAGTAAATAATGAACATGCATGCAAACTATATTTGTAGATTCCAGCTAAAGTGATGCCCAGAAGCAAATGTAGAGTTTTAAATTATTTGTTAAGGCCGGGCTCAGTGGCTCAGCCTGTAATCCCAGCACTTTAGGAGGATGAGGCTAGTGGATTTCTTAAGGCCGCAAGTTCAAGACCAACCCGGGCAACATAGAGAGACCTCTCTCTAAAATAAATAAAAAATTAGCTGGGAGTGGTAGCGCACGCCTGTAGTTCCAGCTACTTGGCAGGCTGAGGCGGAAGGATCTCCAGAGCCCAGCAGATTGACACTGGGGTGGCCATGAGTGTGCCACTGCACTCCAACCTGGGCAACAGAGTGAGACTCCAACTCAAAAAAAAAAATTTGTTAAGAAAAGGTCTGAAAATTAATGAATCAGGTAGCTGACCTTATATATTAGAAAAAGAACAACAAAATAAACCTAGGAAAGGAAAAGAGGAACATATCATTATAATTTTAGACAAATTGTTTCAGAGAAAAAGAATATACCCTGTTTCAATTCAGGAGGCCAGTGTATCCAAACAAGTATAGCAGGGGAAAGAAAACTTATAAGCCATTTTCATTTATGAATATACTTACAAAATATTAGAAAACCAAATTGAGCAATTTATTTATTTTTTTTAAAAAAGGCTTAAAAACATCATAACCAAGTTTAGATATTTGAACTGCAAGGAGGTTTAATCAAAAGAAGGCAATTTTCAAATTACTCTAGAAATTAAATGCAACTCCAATCAAAATCCCAAAGGCTTTTTTATGGAGTTTGACAAGCTGATTTTAAAGTTTTTACAAAAGAGTAAAGAGCCAAGAATGACAAAAACAGTTTTGTAAAAGAACAAGGTTTGGGGAAGAGAGGCGAGTTCTTTATTAGATATTAAGACTTTCTATAAGGTTTATTTATATCTTATTATAAAGTAACTGTAATCAAGACAATGAATAGACCTAGCATATTCTCACACCTGTAATCCCAGTGCTTTGGGAAGCCAAGGTGGGAGACTCACTTGAGGCCAAAAGTTTAAGACCAGCCTGGGCAACAAAGCAATACCCCGTATCTGCAACAACAGCAAAAAAATTTGCCAGGTAGACCTGTAGTCCCAGCTACTCAGGAGGCTGAGGCGGGAGAATTACTTGAGCCTGGGAGGTCAAGATTGTAGCGAGCTTTGGTTGTGCCACTGTACTCCATCCAGGGTGACAGAGCAAGACCTTGTTTAAAAAAGAAAAAGTGTGCTTTAAGCACAGTGATTAACAAGTAGACCAATATAGCAAACTAGCCCACTTGTGTAGCCTGTAAACTGGCCCATTTGTATATAGGAAATATTGGGGGCGTGAGGGAGGTTTGATAAATTGTGCTTGAACAATATGTTATCTAAATGAGAGAGGGATTCCTGCCTCACTGTAGGTAGGAATACCTAACACAAATGTAAATTCCAGGTATATTATGAAATTTAAATGTGAAAAAAGCAAAATTTTACAAAAGACTAGAGAGTGTGTTTTTGAACTCATGTGAGGAAGAGATTTCTAAAATAAAACATGCAACAAAATCATAAAGAAAAAGACTGATAAATCTAACTATCTTTGTATTTAAAACTACTGCTTATCAAATAATACCATTTAAAATGTGAAAAAAAATTCACATGATGAAAAAAGAGATCTCCTACACACCTAGAATGTATAAGAGAAAGAAAATTGTATAGTAGATAAGTACAAATTACAGAATAGGAAACCTGGCCAATAATCACATGAAAAGCTACTCTGACCCATTGGTAACAATCAGAGGAATGCTAGTAACATCAGATGACATATATTTCAGCCTTCTGATTTGCACAAATAAAAATGTTGACAAGTACCAAGTGATAGCAACTATTTAGAACAAATAAGTCGTACTTTCTGGTGGATTCAATTCTGGAGTACTCTCCACTTTAGAGAATAATTTGGCAATGTCCAATCATGTTGAAGATGTATGTATTTTATGACTCATCAGTCTACTATTAGCAATGTCTTTAAATTTCTGGGGAATTTCAATGATAGGATAAATACATTTTCAGATATGCAGTGTCTTTAGACATTCGTCTCCCATGCATCATTTCTCAGAAACTATTAAAGGATATTCTTCAGCAAAATGAGGGAGTAAAACAAGAAAGAAGAAGACATACAATTCAGGAAGTGGGTTCCAACACAAAAGATCTAAGAATATCCCTAAATGGTGAGAAATGGAAGTCACAGCACCTGGTCAGAAGGTCAATAGAGCAACCACTGCAGATTTGAGAAGATTTCAAGAAGAAAATGGAACTGATAAATGTCTGATGTTTGGCCACAGTGATGTTTATGGTGAAAGATATTTTATAAAGGTATTAAAGAGTATGAAAAGACTTTTCACAGAGCATGGTGTTTATTTCATTTGAAGCTATATCTACTGCACCCCAGGGCCTGGCATGTAGTAAGAATTCAGAAATGATATAGGAAAAAGAACTTGCTGGAATGGTAAAGCACACTATGGAGACCAGGATGAAGTAGGGTACAGGAAGCAAGGAATATCTTAGAATGATTTGGTACAACATATGCAAGCAATTTTGTCGGGTTTGATGGTAAGAGATGTATAAGTTAAAATCAAGTAAGATGCAGTGAGGGATGACCTTAATGAGTTCAGATGTTTTGAAATCAGGGCTGTTGCCAACAACAGACATTTTAGATTGTCTGCCCGTTATTAGATTCCAAATTTTGATGACCAGTGATTCTAATCCAGTTGGGCTGTTCATCTAGTCAGCTAATATTTTAACAGCCTCCTCCTGTGTTCCAAGCACTGTGCCAAAAGCTGAGATTACAATGGTAAGCACAATCAAATATTGTCTCTGCCCTCGTTTCAAGCTGTGACTATACTTATCCTTTGGTTCAGAATGTTTAGAATAGAGGTGTTTAGAATATGGGTATACCTGGCCTGAAATATTTTCTAAGCCTGGATTCACTCTTATGAAACATAAGACTTTGAAATGCACACTAGCTTTGGAAATTGAAACTCATTGCTTTTCATTTCACCAATAGTTACTGTCTATAATGATATACCCTTATAGAAAATTATCCTAATTTAATTGGATATGATTTTTGTTATTAGAAATATTACTATTTTGATAACTACATTTTGCTAATCATTCTTCTTGACCAGTGGTCTTTCTTTGTATGTGAACTTTTCATAAGTTACTTGAATAATATAGAATACATTTCATGATTGGTCCTGTTCAGTATGATCAGGAATTCTGTCTCACTTTCCTTTCTTGATGCCCCTTTGCAGGGGTTGTGTTCGCACATTATGGTCCAGTCTGGAGACAACAGAGGAAGTTCTCTCATTCAACTCTTCGTCATTTTGGGTTGGGAAAACTAAGCTTGGAGCCCAAGATTATTGAAGAGTTCAAATATGTGAAAGAGGAAATGCAGAAGCATGGAAAAGACCCATTCTGCCCTTTCCCCCTCGTCAGCAATGCCGTATCCAACATCATTTGCTCCTTGTGCTTTGGCCAGCGCTTTGATTACACCAACAGTGAGTTTAAGAAAATGCTCAATTTTATGTCACGGGGATTAGAAATCTGTCTGAACAGCCAGGTCCTCCTGGTCAACATATGTTCCTGGCTTTATTATCTTCCCTTTGGACCATTTAAGGAATTAAGACAAATTGAAAAGGATATAACCAGTTTCCTTAAAAAAATCATCAAGGACCATCAAGAGTCCCTGGATAGAGAGAACCCTCAGGACTTCATAGACATGTACCTGCTCCACATGGAAGAAGAGAGGAAAAATAACAACAGCAGCAGTTTTAATGAAGAGTATTTATTTTATATCATTGGGGATCTCTTCATTGCTGGGACTGATACCACAACTAACTCTTTGCTTTGGTGCCTGCTGTATATGTCACTGAACCCTGATGTACAAGGTAATTAATATATGTTTCTTTTATTCATGGCAAAACCAGATAATTTAAATCAGGATTAGCAACCTCAGTGATCTGGTGGCTTCTAGTACCAAGCAATGTCTTCAGGCTGGAAAACAAAATAAACACTTGCATCTTATAGGGAGTTGTATGGTGTTAACAGTGAAACCCCAGGTTTCTAAACAGTGGGACTAATGTCATTACTTGCATACCCCCGCTTAAATCTCTACAGGTCTGGTTATATGTGATATCTGATGATGAAAGACCTTTAGAAAAGAATAACATTCCAGAACTGAAGGGAATCATAATGCTCAATTGGCATATTCATCTTGTTTTGAAAATGGAGAACAAAGCCCCAGAGAAATTGCATGACTTTCACAAGGTCGCTCAACTAGTTTCACTGCCTCAGTACCAATAGACAGTGAGCATCAGTGGCAGTTTCTAGAGGAAGAATACAGGGGAGAATGGTGTATTAGTTTCTTTTATAACAAATTACCACACATTTAGTGGCTTAAGACAACACAACTTTACTATCTTATAGTCCTATACATGAGAGGTCTGATATGTGTCTCACTGGCTGAAAATCAAGATGCTGGCAGGACTGCATTCCCTTCTGGAGCCTCCAAAGGAGGATCTGTTTTCTTGCGATTTCCTGCTTTCTTGGCTCATGGCCTCCTTCCATCTTTGAAGCCAGTAATGTTGCATCTCTGACTATTTCTTCATAGTCACAGCTCCCTCTGGCTCTGAACTTACCTGGGAAAGGGTCTGTGGTTTTAAAATCTGTGTACTTAGATTGAACACTCCCAGATAACCCAAGATAAACTCCCTATCTCTAGGTCTTTAACTTAATTATATCAGCATACTTCTTTTTGCCATGTAAGGTATGATACTTACAGGTTCCAGGGGATTAGGGGCCATTATTCTGCCTATCATAGATGGAATTGTGCCTTCCTATATTAGTTAACTATTGCTGAGTAACAAATTATCTCAAAATTTAGCAGCTTAAAACAACCACCATTTATCTCTCAGTGTCTGAGGGTCTGGAATCCAGGAGTGGCTTAACCTGGATGGTTCCAGTTTAGGAGTTCTCATGAAGCCAAGATGTTGACTGGGGTTGTAGTCATCTAGACTTGACTGGGACCAAAGGATCCATTCCCAAGATATCTGCCCATATGACTGTTGGGCACAGTTCTTTGCCACTCTGATCTTTCCATAAGGTGACATAACTTGGTGGCTGCCTTCCCCCAAGGTGAATAACCTAAGAGAGAGTGTGAGTGGCAAAGATGAGGAGCCACAGTATCTTTTATAAACTAATCTCAGAAGTGATATGCCATCACTTCTCTCTTATTCTGTTGGCCACATAGACCAGCTTGGTACAAAGTGGGAGGGAACTGCACAAGGATATGAATCATTGGGTAATCATTGGGGGCCATCTTGACTGTCACATGTTGTCACAGTTGGCTTAGAAAGTCAATCTCATGTTCATATGAGAGTTTGATTCAGGGTGCTCTTGAATCCAGAGTGCTTTCTCTTTTGCCCCTCTATCTGTCCTGTTATCCCCCTTCAAAATCATAGAGTGGTACAGGCTCCCTGGGGCTAGCTGTGTCTACTTGGAGTGTCTGACCAATGCATCACCTCACTGAGGCAGAATTGGGTCTGTGTAAGAGGTGATGGGAAGTATGCATTGGAAGGCAGGTTTCAACTCTCTCCCGAGCTTATCTTCTGGTTTATTCTTTCCTTTTGTATAGAAAAGGTTCATGAAGAAATTGAAAGGGTCATTGGTCCCAACCGAACCCCTTCCCTCACAGACAAGGCCCAGATGCCCTATACAGAAGCCACCATCATGGAGGTGCAGAGGCTAACTGTGGTGGTACCACTCGCCATTCCTCATATGACTTCGGAGAAAACAGGCAAGTCCAGGGTCTTCCTTCTTTGAATGTACTTAAGGGAGGCACAGCTCCTTAATCCAGTCGAGCTGAGGTGAGGAGTATGTGACCGTTGCCTAGCTTGATCCTTCTGAGGATTTAGCATTGTGTCATAGATAATGAAGTGTCCAGGGGTTGTTTCAGTCCTCAACTGCCCATTATTAGTTATACTGGCATTCCAGCCTTCAGAGCATAACTTATACTGGCAAAATAAATAATGCTGCAATTCAAATCAGCTGTGTTGGGAGAAAAATTTCCGATTTGACAAAGGCGCCTCTCCAGTCTTTTTCATGGAAGTAGAAAGAGCTAGTCTGAATGTGAAGTTATGCATTTTAGCTGGATATTATCATACTTCAATTTTTAAAATTCTACAACCAAAGCATAAATATTAAAGAATTAGAAGACTCATCTGATTCTAGGGTCATCTCTTTCAACCTCTTGCTTACAATGTAACATATCCATTTGGTCATATCCAGACTCTCTTTATTTTTGTTTTGTTTTTGAGTTGGAGTCTCACTCTGTCACCCAGACTGGAGTGCCATGGCCTCTCCTGGCCACCGCAGCCTCGACCTGCTGGGCTCCGGCGATCCTTCTGCCTCAGCCTTCCAAGTAGCTGGAACTACAGGCGCGTGCTACCACGCCTGGCTAATTTTTTGTTTTATTGTAGAGATGAGGTCTCGCCAAGTTGCCCAGGTGGGTCTCGAACCCATGGGCTCAGGCAATCCACTCACCTCAGCCTCCCAAAGCGTGGGATTACAGGCTGAGCCACTGAGCCCGGCTTAGACTCTGTTTAAAATCTGCAGGAGACAGCCCATAATTTAATGGGCTTGATCTAGCTGTAAGACAGTTGTAGGAGGCAGTTGCTTATCAATGACATGGATCACTTAACAGTTTTTTTAATATAGTATCTTTTGAGCATGTTTACAGCACGTAATAAGTTGTCAGCTGGTAAGAGCCAGGGTTGGCTTCCCTGTACATCTCTTGACGTCAGTTTACCTTCCTATCATATTGTTATATGGATATAAATGACTCTGTAAGCTGTTAAGTTTTATACATATTTGGAATTTTTAATTCTTGGGGGAAGTTTGCTTATTTCTGTTCTAGCGTTTTCGCTTAATTATAATGTTTTTATGGATTGATTGATTTATTAGCATCAGAGTCTCACTCTGTCGCCTAGGCTGGAAAGCAGTGGCAGGATCATGGCCCACTGCAGCCTTGACCTTACTTGATCCCCCCCTGGGCTCAAGTGATCCTTCCACCTCAGCCTCCTGAGTAGCTGGGACTACAGGCCGATGACACCACACCAGGCTAGTTTTTGTATTTTTTGTTTTTTCAGAGATGAGTTCTCGCTATGCTGCCCAGGCTGGTCTCAAACTCCTGGGCTCAAAAAGTCCTCTTGCCCCAGCCTCTCAAAGTGCTGGGATTACAGGCATGAGCCACCTTGCCCAGTCATGGTTTAATTCACCATGCATCAGAGAACCTCTGGTGCCCTGTCTCTGACTGGGTCCTGGGATGGTGTGGGGAAAGAGATAGCAATTGATAAAATCTTATTTCAGCTGGGCTTAGTGGCTCAGCCTGTAATAATCCTAGCACTTTGGGAGACCGAGGCAAGTAGATTGCCTGGGCCCACGGAAGTAAGATCAGCCTGGGCAAATTGGTGAGACCTTGTCTCTATAATAAATAAAATATCACCCAGGCATGGTAGCATGTGCCTGTAGTTCTAGCTACTTGGAAGGCTGAGGCAGAAGGATTGCTTGAGCACAGCAGGTCGATGCTGGGGTGGCCATGAGTGTGTCACTGCACTTCAGCCTGGGCAATGGAGTGAGACTCCAACTCAGAAAAATAAATAAATACATTTATCTCTGCCTTCAAATACCTCAAAATGTAGCCTTAGCCAATTAGGATACTAGGCATATACTTGTAACTAACTACATGTTTCTTCCCAGATAGTGATATTTAGGGAAAACTGTTAGTAAAAGCATGTTGAATAACACTGTGTGGTTTTTGTTTGTTTGTTTGTTTGTTTGTTTAGTGCTCCAAGGGTATACCATTCCTAAAGGCACATTGATCTTAGCCAACTTGTGGTCAGTACACAGAGACCCAGCCATCTGGGAGAAACCAGAGGATTTTTACCCTAATCGATTTCTGGATGACCAAGGACAACTTATTAAAAAAGAAACCTTTATTCCTTTTGGAATAGGTCAGTTAAACTTTTTTTTTTTTAATGACTTAATTTTTAAAATAAGTAAAAGTAAAATAATCCTTTATTGCTTCATGTTGTTTTAAAAATATTTCTTTCTTGGCAAGCTAATATAAGAGAAGATATCAATTATTTATTTATTCATTTATTTATTTATTTTTATTTTTTGAGTCAGGGTCTTACTCAGTTGCTCAGGCTAGAGTGCAGTGCACAATCGTGACTCATCACAGCTTTGACCTTCTGCGCTCAGGCGATCCTTCCACGTCAGCCCCATAAGTAGCTAACACAAACTACTGCAGTGCCCGGCTAATTTTTTTTTTCTTTTATTACATTATTATTAGTAGTAGTAGTAGTAGTATTTTGTAGAGACAAGGCCTCACTATGTTGTCCAGGGTGATCTTGAACTCCTAGCCTCAAACAATCCTCCTTCCTTGGCTTCCGAAAGTGCTGGGATTACAGGCATGAGCCACTGCACCCAGTAGAGATCAATAATTTAGATAATCCATCTCTATTATGTTCATCTCCAATTTAAAAATAAAATAAAAGCATTTGGTTTTATATCTTTAAATATGACTCGAAATCTTCCTTTTTGAACTGTCCAGGTGATTGTTTGGGTCCCAGGGAGTTTGGGTCCCTACTGGAGTCAAGAGCATTTTCTGACCTCCTGGTCTGGTGGGTGAGAGGATGGGTTCTCTAATCTCAACAGTTCCTCCTTTAGATTAGGAAGACAGTATTCTTTCTATGAACAAAGAAGGGCTCTGGAGATTCTTATCTGGCATTTTTCCCATAAATCTTCCCAGGAAGTGTGAAGGAAAGAGATAAGTAGGCATGGAAGAAACAGAGTAGCTGTCATATTGGCTCTGTGTGTCATTCCTGCCTAGGATGAGGATAGGTTTTATGAGTAGGAAGTGAAATGTGAACTTGGTATGAAAAAATTCTGTTCAGCATATGCTGTGGAAGGCTATGTGGTATATGTAGCAATTTTATTTTAAAGCTTTCTATATCTGCTGTTAAAATACTCGATTTAGATATTTCATATAATTTTTTTACTTTTTGAAATAGGAAAAGGGATAGTATTATAATCCTTTTTTCTGATCTCATTTCTAGGGAAACGGGTATGTATGGGAGAGCAACTGGCAAAGATGGAATTATTTCTGATGTTTGTCAGCCTAATGCAGAGCTTCACCTTTGCTTTACCTAAGGAGTCCAAGAAGCCCATCCTGACTGGAAGATTTGGTCTAACTTTAGCCCCACATCCATTTAATATAATCATTTCAAAGAGATGAAGAACATCTCCAAAAAGAGATAGTAAAAAGATAAATACATGTCCTCCTAAACAGATTCTTTCTACTGCAATTGACAATGTATCCAGTAAGTCAGCCAATCTAGGTTAGGCTCAGATTAGGGAGAGACTGGAAAGAGGATAGAGCATGGAGTTTTCATCTTGGAGGATTCCTCAGCAGGATACTTCAGCCATTTTAGTAACTCTTGTCTGTGATTTGGGAGATGGGGACCAAAGTACTGAGGAAACAGGGTATCAGTTTTCTTTGCAGTGGCTTCTACCAATGAGCAATCTTCTCATCTCTCAGTACCTCAGATATCCCATGCGTAAAATGAGGGTAACAAAACTTGCCTTCTCTCTATCTCTCAGCACTAATTATGGTCAGATGCTTCATGTCTTTTCTGATATCATTAAAATGATGTTAATTCTGGTGAAAAAAATTACAAGTAGGAGAAGATCTACCCGCTGGCCTTTTAAGACCTGTGACAACATGAAAGTGATGTTCATCCTAGAACGCTTTGTCAGAGAGGGTTGTGGATATCGGTTATATTGAGGTAGAACTTAGCACAGATTCTTTAGGTTCTGTTGTTGTTATCTTTTTGTTTATGATTTTATTTTTTAGTTTTTGTAGACATAAGATGAAGTGGACCCTTGTCCAACCTGTTGAGGCAAAAAGTTATTAGGATTTTTTAAAATCTCCTAGGGTTATGGTTTAAGCTAATATGTCTGCCTTCTACTTCAACTACATGAACAGTGAGCCTGGCTAAAGTAATGGTTTCATGGCAAAATTTCTTTCTTCTGAATAATTGCAAAGATGCAACTCTGCCTTTTGACTTAAGACTCAAATGGCAAGCTCAGGAATTTGGATATTGAATTCATCTCAAAAGGTTTCTTCCAAACCATACTAAACATTCCTTTCCTAGTCTTCCTGCCACCAGACTCAATGTATCTGATCCTTGAATACTCTCAAAGAGAGGAAGGCCTTCTTATTTTTTATTAAGAGAACTACATTGTTTCTCAATACAGAAGACCCCTCTATAGTAGAGCAGTTCTCAACAGGGTAGTAACCCTGTCAAGGGAAGTTGGGAAATGTGTGGATGTGTTTCTTGGTTGTCATAACGATGGGGGTGCTGCTGACCTTTTGCTACCATGGGGCCAGGGCGCTAAAGGTCCAGGCAGTCCTATTTGGTGAAGACCTGTCTTGCCCAGGAGGCCAGAATTTCTCCCAATGAAAGCATGCTCCCAAGAATGACCACCCCTCTATTCTCTCACGGTACTCCATATATAGAAGCAATCATGGTAGTAATGGGAGCAGCCATAATCCTGAGACTTTTCTCCCATTGGGTCTATACTTAATGCTTTCCTTGTTTGCTTCTGTAATTCTTCCAGAAATTCTTTTAAGAGGATGGCATTTTCTAGCTAATGAAGCTGAGCCTTAGGAAAGTTAAGGCACATAGTTAAAAAGTACCATCACTGGGTTTTGACCCTATTGGTCTTTGTGACTAGAGAGCACTTTCTGAACCACTTCTTGGTCCTGCTACCACTTGATCCCACAGCAGTCTATCCCTTGGCCTTACGCTGTGGTTTTGTGTGTCCATCTTAATCCCAGGCTGAGCTCCTTGAGGCGAGGGTGTCGTGCCATTTGCTTCCCTCATAGTGCCTTGCCTGTGGGGATGCCCAGTCAACTTATGAGTGACCTTTAAGAAGTGTACTTATGGGAAAAATCCCACCCCATTTGAATAACTATAGGTTGTATTTGTATTGCTCAAAGGTAAAAAAAAAAAAATCAGTGTGTATTATTTGCTAATGTCAGTTAAAGCTTTTTTAAAAATACTGGACTTTTGTTCATCATGTCACATAACCACTTTAAACAAACTTAGAATGATGCCATAGCTGTTGAAATATAACACAGAATGTAAGGTCCCAGCAGCTGAGAGGAGGCCACATCCAAGGGCCTCTCATTTACTTTCCTAAAGGAGAGAAGCAGTTACTGCTGTTCCTGTGAATAGAGAGGAAAGCAAGAAAAGATCCAGAGTGGTTGTTACTCTGAGAATTAAATGGAAGATGAAACGCTGACCTTGAACACATCTGATAGAAAGGGCTCCTCTGACTGAACCCCCCTTCCTGCTCTCTGCTCCAGATCAGTGGCAACACCAGGTCTCCCCAGCCTCTGACCCCCTGTGGAATTGGCCACCCTTTGGGTAGTTGGATCACCTTAGTCTGTGAAGGACATTCCAGGGCAATTTCAAATACAAAGATAGTTCCTTGACTTAGCACATTCCCAGGCAGATTTCTGCATGCTCAAGGAATGAAAATAATATCTGCTTAATTAAAACATAGCAAGAGAAAAAAAATATGATATCATTGTCATCAAGTATTGGTTGATTTCTGAATCCACAATATTTCTATTTACCATACTGCTTTTTTCCTTTTTTAGAAATAAGATTAAGTAGTTTCAACATAGGTAAATCAAATGCAGGCTTATCTTTAGGTGCTTTAAGGATTTTGTGTTTTGTTTTTTAAAAAAGAAAAGCTAATAGATTAAATGCAGAGGAACTGAGTGAATGGGAAGGTTGTCGTATCAATTTTAGATGACATGATTATGTGGATCATACTGCACCGTGAACAGGACTGTTTATTCTTAATATGGAATTCATATGCTTTTGAATTGCACTAATATCTTGATTACTCCTTAATTGATACATGCATAGCCAAAGGGTTTATAGCTTACTTGAGAAAAATAACTTCCACTCTTTGTTGAGATCAGATGTTTATTAAACATTAAAATATAATGCCTTAAACTGTAGCACTTTAAAAACATCTTTATATGGTAAATCACTGAAAGGACTGTTACTGCTTTTCTCAAACATGTTGGCATTTTACAATTTTGCAAATCATGGTTTATGTGAAATGTAAAAATAACTATTTTGTTTTATAAGCCTGCTAATATCTAATTCTTAGTCTTCATTTTTAGCAAAGTTTTTAATGCTTTTATTAAACTTTTTATTTTAACTGAGACAGAATCATGTCTGGCTTTTTGTTTTGCTTTAATTACTGAACACAATTTTGTTTTAACAGATATCAAGCTAGGAAATGGAAAAGGGAATAGATCTCTAAAGAGAGATGGCCACCGCATCATACGATATCAGCATGCTCTTTAGACGGGAGGGTAACTCTTTTAAAATTTCCCCACAGAGTGAAGTTACTCACAGGCCTAGTATCACAGCCCACATGTCTTATATCCCACATAGAAGCCCAGCACTGATTGAGAGGATGTGTCTACGCAAGCCCGCTGTGGCAAAGTATCGAGTGTTTGTCCCTCTTAATATTTCCTGGCTCAGGAAAGAGAAAGAGCTCTTTGATGCCTGAACCCTTTATTCCTGTAAATGAGCCCCTGCCAGCTTTTCCCACAGCCCACTTTTCCTCCTGAGGTCACAGCTCAGAGGTCATCTCCAGAGATATTTCTCACTCCATCCCTAACAAAAGTGGCCTTTCAGCCTGGCACGGTGGCTCATGCCTGTAATCCCAGCACTTTGGGCAGCCGAGGCAAGAGAATTGCCTGAGCCCAGGGGTTCGAGACCAGTCTGGGCAACTTGGCAAGACCTTGTCTCTACAATAAAAAATAAATTAAAAAAAAAATTATTCAGGCATGGTAGTACATGCCTGTCATTCCAGCAACTTGGAAGGCTGAGGCAGGATTGCCTGAGCTCAGCAGGTTGAGGCTGCCATGGCTGAGAGTGTGCCACTGCACTCTGGCTTGGGTGACAGAGTGAGACTCTGACTCAAAAAAAAAAAAATGGCCTTTCCTGAGAACTCCCTTGTCTCATGGTCCAGTTTATCTCTTCTTAGACCCTCAAAACTAACGGCAACCACCTTGTTTATTTAAACCCTTGGTTTCTACCATCTCTTTCATCTCCAGCCCATGTGGATGTCAGAGACTGACTGTGTTCGATGGCTCACCAGAGTGGGCATCTCCCACAGAGCAGGCACTCGGGAAATATGTTGGACAAATGAAGACTGAAGTGCGTTGGAAGGAAGGCACTTGTTTGACTCTTTCAGCTAGAGAAAGGGTGACACACAGGCAAAGGGGTGACACACAGGCAAGCCTGTCACTGTTTTCTGTCTGCCACCTCAGTGATTGTGGTTGTGACATCAGAGTATGAGTTTCAGTGAACCAGCACTGGTGATACAAGGGGAACACAAGCAATAACTTGGCGCCCTCAAGTTGGCTTTGGGTTTGTTGCATTGTTTTTAGAAACAAAATGCATTTAAGTGGGATATTCGTTTGCAAATAATTTGGATTATTAGCCAAGTGGCTAATTGTATTAACCTATTATCACAGTTGCAATAATAGTTTATATTTTTATCAGTCTCCTCTTTGTATGAGGACTGAGAGCTTCATCGGTTTTCAATAAGGGATGAGAATAGCCAGGTGCAGTGGCTCATGCCTGTAATCCCAGCACTTTGGGAAGCAGAACTGAGAGGATTGCTTGAGCTCAGAAGTTCGAGACCAGCCTGGGCAACATGGCAAGATCTTGTCTCTACAATAAATAAAAAAGCCCGGCAGGGTGGCGCATGCCTGTGGTTCCAGCTCCTTGGAAGGCTGAGGCAAAAGGATCATCTGAGTCCAGCAAGTCAAGGCTGTGGTAGCCATGAATGTGCCACTGCACTCTAGCCTAGGTGACATAGTGAGACTCTGACTCAAAAAAAAGAAAAGAAAAAAAAAGAGATGAGGCTAATTATCCATAACGCTCTGGGCAGATTGCCCAGCAGGATCTTTCCAGTCAAAGGGAAGAGAGTGGGATGATGTATTCAGAGTACTGAAAGGAAAAATGTTGCCAAACAAGAATATTATATTTGGCAAAACTAAGCTTTAAAAATAAAGAAGAGATAAAGTCATTCCCAGACAAACAAAAGTGCGGGAGTTTGCTTGTCACCACTAGACCTGCCATACAAGAAATGCCTAATGAAATCCTTCATTGAAATGAAAACATGCTAAATAACAACATGAAAGCATAAATCTCACTGGTAAAGGTAAATACACAGATAAATACAGAATAATGTAACACTGAACTAGTGCATACATCACTTTTACCCCTAATATAAAAGATCAAAACTATTAAGAACAATTACAACCACAAAATGGTTAAAGGATACACAATACAAACAAAATTAAATACTGTCTTCAAAATCACAAAGTAAGTGGGACAGTTGGAGATAAGGAGTAAAAGTGTAGCATTTTGGTACTGAGTTGAAGTTAACTTGTTATCTACTTGAAATAAACAGTTATAAGATATTTTATACAAGCCCCAAAACAATCAAATCACAAGGGAAGATAGCAAGAGAGGGAGAAAGGAACAACAGAACTACA